CGCCCCGCCGCGTGCGCCCGCGTGCCGCCCCCGCGCCAGCGGCAACGGCGGCGGCTCCCGACGGCAAAAGAGTGAGAAAGTAACGGCGGGGCCGCCCCCGCGCGGCAAAACCGAGCGTCTCCTTCGAGCCGGAATCGAACCAGCGACCTAAGGATTCCCGCGGGCCGCGCCTCTACAGTCCTCCGCTCTACCAGCTGAGCTATCGAAGGGAGCTGGTTTGGCTCCCCGCTCCTCGGAATAAATCCTTTCTTCCGGGTGCCGCCGGTGATGTGCGCTGTAAGTACGGCTGGAATTTCCTTCTGGAGAGCAGCTGGGGCATGGAGACGCTCTCGGGACAGACACATGGAGCTGCGAGCGGCCCAAACGCCCGGCGGCGGCTCCCGCACCCGGCCCTGCTGCCCGCGGGTCGGTCAGCGCGGGGGGCGCGGCGCTCTTGGCTTCCCACGCTCCCGCGCCGGGCGAGCTGTCCCGGCGGACTAAGGCAGCGCTTCCCGCTTCCCTCCCTTGCCGAAAGCACGTCTCATCCATCAGCCAGCCAGCACTGTTACGGGCTCCTGCTCCAGCCACGGCACGGGTCTGTTGGGAGAGGCCACCCCCAAATAAAATCAGGTTGGAAAAGACCTCTCAGGTCATCGAGTGCAACGTATGACAGCACCACCGTCAACTGCATCACGGCGCTGAGTGCCAAATCCACTCCTTCCTCGAATACCTCCACGGGCAGTGATTACACCCTGGGCAGCCCATTCCAATATTTAGTCACCCTTTCCGTGAAGAAATTCCTAATGTCTAACCTAAACTTCCCCTGGCACAGCTTAAGAGTAGGTTGTCTCATCCTGTCACTGGTTGCCTGGGAGAAGCTGAACCCCACCTGGCTACAACTTCCTTTCTGGTAGAAACATGGCATCGCGTCCTCGTGTGGCTATGCTGATGGACACGTGGACTCCACAGAGCTCCCAGGAGAACAAGGTGGGATCACCTGCTTTAAAGACAGGTATTGGCAGCTGCACAGTCAAAAAAAAACCAGAAAGGGTAGGGACAGCATTTAAAGGTGCTCAGTCATGGTGTTCACTTGACACTGGAGTGCTCACATCCGTCACAGGGACAAACCATTACTTTTTATTAATTGCAGTGTGATTTTTGCTTTAGTGATCCAAACAAATCACCAAAAACAGCAGGTGCTTTCTTATCCATCATCTTCTTTCCAAATACATTTTCTTCGATGGTTTACTTAAGGAAATTTGCTAACCATCACCACCACCACAGAGGCAATGACCTCCTGAAGCTACCACCATTGTGAAGTAAAAGCTACATTCCAGCAGAACCTCTGTGTGTTGTAGGTATTTCCCTACACAAGTCTTTAGCTGGAACTATACAACGATTGGGGTTGGAAGAGACCTTAAAGACCATCTAGTTCCAGCTCCCATGCAATGAGCTGGGACCCCTTCCACTGGACCAAGTTGATAAACGACCCATCCAACCTGGCCTGGAACACTTTCAGGGATGGGGCATCCACAGCTTCTCCAGGCAACCTGTTCCAGTGCCTTACCACCCTTAGTAAAGGGTGATAATTTGTTCCTAATATCTAATCTAAACCTACTGTCTTTCAGTTTGGATCCATTCCCCTTTGTCCTGTCACTACATGAGACGTTCCAGTTATGCTTTAAATTGTATTTAAAGAGAGGTGCTCTTCTCCCTTAATCGTCTCTGCAGCCCTCCGCTGGACCTGCAGCAGAAGGCCCTTGTCTCTCTGGTCCTGAAGAGCCCAGAACTGCACACAGCACTCCAGATGTGGTCCCACGAGTAAAGGGGCAGGATCACCTCCCTCCACCTGCTGGCAGTGCTCTTCCTAATGCACCCCAGGGTACCACTGGCCTTCTGGGGCTCCAGGGCACACCGCTGGCTCATGGGCAGGCTGTTGTCCTCCAGGATGGGATACACACAAGTTATCTGAATAAACTAAGCCGTGTGTGGAGTCTGTACATCCCCACGGCACTGTCAGTGTTCCCGGTGCATCCCCACGGCACTGCCAGTGTTCCCGGTGTATCCCCACGGCACTGTCAGTGTTCCCGGTGCATCCCCACGGCATTGCCATTGTTCCCGGTACATCCCCACGGCACTGTCAGTGTTCCCGGTGCATCCCCACAGCATTGCCATTGTTCCCGGTGCATCCCCACGGCACTGTCAGTGTTCCCGGTGCATCCCTACGGCACTGTCAGTGTTTCCGGTGCATCCCCACGGCACTGTCATTGTTCCCGGTGCATCCCCACAGCCCCGTGGATGCTCCCGGTGCCTGCGGGCGGGAATGCCGGGATCGCAGCGCCCTCTGCGCGGGCACGCGGGAACTACAGGCGGCGGCACAGCCCCCATGGCACGGCCGGGCAAAAACCCACCCAAAAACCCCCAAAAACCCCACAGTTACAAGGGCGAACTAGAATCGTTGCATCTTTCACAAAGAAAATTAAATCCTTGAGGGTTTTATTTGTAGTCTTTGCTAATAGGTCTTCAGCACCAGCCTACATTCCCTGTGTTGCATCTTTAGTTTCCAGAGATGACAACGCAGCAGGTTTCCCCACATCAAAGCTCTGACAGGAGTCTTTGAACTACAAAAGCTGTAATGAAAAGTAATAAAAACCACCCTGAGACAGGATTTGTGTCATCAGCCTCATACAGTATGAAATGGCATCTTTTAGCACTCATTTATATTTAATTCACAGTGAAAGGAGCCTGAAATAAAAATATTATTGTCTAAATAGGTGCCTTCTTGTATATTCCCATAGTAACACATGTGTTCCTAATTTGCAGGAAATAGATCCTGAAAACATTAGCTGAAGCAAATTGCTAAAATAATAAGCACTGATGGTCCTGTTGTTAGAAGGACTAATAGCCTAAAGATGTAGTTTGTTATGATATCCAGCAAACATTCTCCATGGAGTACACCAGTAAGCACATACACACCTCTCTTGTTTTTTGATTTTTATTTTTTTATCCTGTTACTGTTCTGTGTGACAAGGTCTAATATTTGGAGTTTCTTTTGCTCCCACATGATTTAAAAAAAAAAAAAAGTATGGAGATGCATTCCCCTGTCTCTCTATTCCCCTATTCTCTGTATCTCTTCTTAGCTTCTAATAACTTGACAAAACCAAGACAGAGGTCTACTACTGTCTTCAGAGACCTTATAAGAATGCAGGCACAAACAGACACTGTAGCAGGGTTTGGACTGTCCCCTCTCATCCCATCTGAGCTGTCACAGCCCACAAGCCACCAGACTGAGTTTCATAGGAAACAGGACAGGACACTCACCAGCCAGCAGTATCTGAGTCCCATTGTGCAAGAACTGCTTTCTGCCTTGGCTTGCCCTGCCCAAGACTCCCTAGTGACAAGGGAGAGTCCAGTTCCAGCCTAGAGCCAAAGAACATGACAAAGAACAAGTGCAAAGGCGTTGCTGCAGGTTCGGGGTGTCAGGAGGAGACAAATCACAGCTCATAGACCTTGAGTCACAGTGGACGTACTTCCAGTGGCACTTTTTGCCACTTTCCCATTACCTTAGAACTGTTCTTTGGGTCTCCTGACAAATCAAAACCAAACACTTGAATCAGCTGTTGGCATTTGGATTGAGCTTGGGTTTTGTAGTGTTGCCCAAGTACTAATGGCAGTGGCCAACACATTTCCAAAGACAGGGACACTTGCTCTTACCCGGATAATTCAAAGGGCAAAGTGCCCTGGAAGACAGAGTGATGGTCCTACCATTTGTTCCATTATTAATTCCTTCATGTTTAGTTTCCTGTTGATCTGCAGGGGAAAAACTTCTATTAGGCATTCATTATGACCTTAACTAACAGCAGATTGTTCCTGCTGGGCAACAGATCCCTTCCCATGCAACACTGATGCTTCAAAAATTGTCATCAAGCTGCAGTGGTATGAAGATACTACACTATAAGGCCATATATTCAGTCTATATGTATATTAATGTTTACTGCTCCAGTTTGGTGAGAGTTCCATCTATTTCCTGATAAAGCCTTTCCTTTAGTGAATAAAAAATACCAGTCATGATCTCACTGCCCATTGTCACAAGGAAATTATAGAAAAACTCTGAAGTCACATGCAGAAGTTTGTAATTCTTTGCTGCTATGCATTGGAATCTCATTGTGAATTCGGGCAGCCAATTTAACATTTCTCTGGACAATAAAGCAGTACATGGATGCTCCCTGGGAGGCACAGAGCTTAACGTCACTGACTTGAAGTTAAGAACAATGAGTCTGTCCTAATTGTTCTCTCTGTAGGTTGTTTGGAAACCTTATAACAGAGGAACCCAGAGACTTTGTGGAGATGATTCTCAGCACAAATAATCAATAAGGCACGCAACCGATTTCTTAGTATGAGAGAAGAATCTAGCAAAATTCCTACAAAGTAAACTCAAGAATCAGTTTTTTGAATTGTGGAAAACAAGAGGCTTATTTCCTCAGCAAACACTTTCCCAACCAATTGCTGCTGGTGCTGGTGTCACAGAACTAAGATCTGCAAAGTAAAACAAACACTTGATGATGATAAAATAAAGAAAACGCTCAGTGCAGGTGACTTCACAGATCTTTTACCAGGTACTTTCCTTTTAGTAGTTTTCAGTGCTTTATCACCAGTTGCTCCAATGACTGCAATCTTCAGAGCTCAGCACTGACTGACACACCAAGTATGTCAATCAAACCACGTGTATCCATCAAGTCTTCAGCCCAGCTGCTTGACTTGGTCTCGATTCAATGTCACAGCACCACCATTCAGCAGCCAAGGTGTTCTTACTTCCATCATCCTG